GGGGGGGCTGCAGCCACTGCAAAATTTACCGTAGCCCCCCCAATTCCCACCCCCGTCCCAGTGCTGCTGCCACCTGCCCTGAGCGCAGCCCTGCCCCACCGGGAAGATCGCAGCCCCAGGGCACCCCACCCTGCGCAGATCCAGGGGCACATGCCCCGCCCCTCCATGCCCTGCCGGATGAACAGGCGTGTGCCAGACGAGCTGCCAGACCAGTAGCTCCCGGGTGAGCAGTGCACAGTGACAGCAGCCCCCACACCCCTCACCCTGCACCTCCCAGACTAGCCATGGCTCCATCTTGCCCCAGCCGGGCAGCACTTGCCCCAGCCGGGCAGCACTTGCCCCAGCCCTACTCCTCCCTCACTGCAGGGGCTCTGATCTGCACCCCCTCCACACCCCTTCTCTTCCCCCTCCCCTTCCACCACACCAGAGTAACCAGCTGCATACAGCTCTTCAAGCTGCCGGGCTGGTATCAGAAATTGGATTGGTATTTGCCGATATGCCTCTTAAAAATCAGCTACTGGTATTGGCCCCAAAAATCTCAGTGCACCCTTACTTTTTATTTATCATTCCCCAACAGAAGGAAGAGAATGTATCATGGGGCTGTCCCAATTCCAAACAACTTCTCTTCTTCCAATTAACACTTGGAACTGCCTTTAATCTACAAGATGAAATGAGCTCTTCAGCACTGAACTTACAGGAAAACAGACAAAAGCTTTTGATACGGATTTCGCACTAGCTTTTTTATTATGAACATGGCCACAGCTGACGTTTACTACACAAACAGTATGACATAACACTGGAAGCGATTAGCAGCTAATCTGTTACAGTATTCATGGAAGTTGAACGGAACACTGATCATATTTGGCTCCATTCAACCTCTCTCCCTGCCATTCAGATACTGTTTAACGCTTGCTATAATTTACAACCCATTTTTAACGATGTCCTTGTCATCCTTTCCCTCATTTTAGGTACAAAAAGGTAAAAGTCAAAGGGTCACAAAATGTCATCCGAGAGGGCCTCTGGATTTTAATGAAACAAAACAAAACAAAAACAAACCAAATCCTGCTATGTGGGGACAAAGAAGCCAAGACATTAGGAAAATATAGACACTTACCATGTAGAAATAGGCAAGGGCACACATGGCTGCCCAGTAAATGGAGCCAGTCTTCACTGCTTTGATCCACATGTAATAGGTTAACAGCATGCAGAATATGGCAATACCTAAGCAACACAGAGAGATCAGACTGGACAGACTATGAGGATATTTCCTATGAAATGTCATATAACATTTCTGCACAGATAGGACAAACTCCTAATAGGAAATACTGAATTACAAGGAAAAAAAACAGCTCAACAATCCTGTCTAAAGCAGAGATGGCATCCAGTGCATGGGATTTTCATAAGAGTTGTCCTACCACTGAAGATTCATTTTTACCACAATACTTTTAGAGAACGTTCTTCCACATACATATTTAGAAATGGACAGTTACTAAAACTTTGTAGCTCCTATAGCTCTACAGGCACTATAAAGTAGACTCATGGGGCACCAGTGGGTGGGGTTAAGTATGCTTTGTTAATACTATATCAGCTGGTAAGTGTCATTTTTGTCAAAGCACACACCTTCTTAACTGAAATGGTCTTGCTGTTGAGACTGCCCAAGTGTGTATATGTGCTACAGTTAATGAGATCAGTCCAAAAAAATAAAATAAAATTCTGCAACTCTACAGTCAGATCAAATCAGACACATTAATGGATATTTACAGGAAATGATGCTTCTTAACAGTATTTTTCTCATCTCACAAGGAGCTGTTATGAAAATTAATGTTTGCAAAGAACCATTAAAAGGTAGCTACCTTCATTTTACAGGTAGGGAACCGAGGCACCAGCAGTTTATAGGACATGCCCCAGGAAAAAGCAATCCAGAAGAGCCAAATTAATGATGGTGTTCCTAGTTTCAAATGCTTTGTTCTTTCCAAACTAATATATTACTTCCTAAAAGCCTAGAATTAGCTTGTGTCAAACCAATGACAAATAAGCAACATGTACTACTCTTAAGTTCTCAAAAAGATTAAAACAAAATAACCAAGATACATTTTATAAGCAGCTACAAACTGATACTGCTATGTTCCACTGCCTCAACTGTGCTAAAACAACTATTTGGGCTGAAAACGTGTCACTTTTTATACAGCCCTGGACCTCAAAAAACCTTTGACCCCACATGTCAATCCTACCAAGTTTAAATTAGTGTTAATGTTTTTTTCTTACTCTATGTATCTGCCATCAGTGCATCTCCATGACTCATCTGCTAACTTTGCTTAACATGTTGACCCCTGGTAGCCCCTCAAAGGCTAATATAGCTACAAAAGACCAGGTTTTATTCTATTCTATTCTAGACAAAATTGTCTCCATCCCAACTGCAGAACCGTTACCAGATGCTAGGTACAAGCACAAGCAGACCTGGGGGAGTTGCAAATCCTAAGTACAGGCTGTGGAACTGCCAAAATCCCTTTTTGTCTCATATGGTTACCTTGTAACCAACCAAATTGAAACGTAAATGGTTTGAATATGCAATATGACATAACTATGCAAGAGAGAGAAACAAAAGGTCTCTTCAGAGACAGATCTACCATCTCAGCCGGATAATAAAACATGCTGGCTGGGCAGGAGAGGGGCCATTTCCAAGCAGCGTGGTTTTTATTTGCTGATTGGTATTTATCTGCTTGCAAATCACCGGGAATGGTATTCCTACTTCATTTGCTAGGCCCTTTTCAGCACAGAGTGGCTCTTTAAGGGTTGCCATCCATCTACAAAAATCCCATTTAAGGAATCCTGCAAACCTCACCTTCATTATCATAAGAGCCGGCAACAGAACGAGAGATGTAACCAGGCACCACAGCAATCATGGCAGCAGCAAGAAGTCCTGCCCCTGCATCCTGGGAAGCACACACAGTCAGAAGGAAAAAATAGACCACATCAGTCTTAAGAGAGATTTCTCAGACAAATACAACACAATTAATACAAGGAAGAACCTCTGCATGGCAGAGAATAATTTTCAGCTTCCGGAGCCCTGGGGAGAATTCCTCATATTCTTCTCCCTCTAGTGGCTATCAGAGATCTGCCTTCAGCTTCAGGGGAACAAGAAATGAAACTTCTGTGTACTGGGTGTAGAGTGACAACTAAACGCTTCTGTCCCCCAATAACCTGAAACACAGCCTAGAGAACAAGCTTCTGAATATGACATGCTCAAGTTCAGAATGATGGCTGCATCTAACTAGGCTCCTGATGCTGCCTTCATTACGTATGCAAGATGCTGAAGAGAGGCAGAAAGTCCTTAAAGGAGCTGGCTGGCTGCCACAGAACTAGGGAAGGAACATTAGGCTGGCCAACGATTCTTCTCTAGCCAGTGCAACAGTCTGAGCTCTGACACCAGGGCCACTCTCTCTAAACCAACAAACATTTGAATAAGCCAAACAAGTAATGTGAAAGACTTTGCCCCTCATTTCTTTGTATCACTTTGCAAAGCAACTTTGATGGAAAAATAAAAGCTAGACACTCGAGACCAAAAGCATAATGTAATAGCTTGTGCAGGTTAAGGTGACCTGGCACTGGCTCAAACACATCGCGCTGTGATTACAAGCCATGCAAATCATTTGATCCTCAACTTTAGGCCAAGCTGAGACATCATTAGGGCTAGCTCCCCTTGGCCCCATTCTCTACTATACACATAATGGGCAAGGAAAGCAAGCTCAGCTGGAAACCCAGGCCAATAACAGGGTATGTAGGCTCAAAATAATGCAACAGTCACAAACCCTATCCACAACAACTGGGGAGTGCTGCTACTTTTTAATCTCGACATGATCTCACAGTTGCTATCTGACTGGCTACCCCAGGACCACACATTCAGAGATCGCTGCAGAGCAAATTAGAACAGCAGGGTTTTCTGGTGGAAGTCAGTTAGAAGCCCATCCCAAAATACACAGATTTAACAAAAACATTCTGAAATTACGGTCAAATAAAGACACCAAACTGCCGGATTAATCTGACTTGTAAACAAACAAACAAACAAACAAGTCAATACATGAACTAGCAGACATGTTGGAGAAGAAAAAATAGAAAAATATTAGTCAGCTCTACTGAGATTTTCATCAGCGACATTCTGATGAAAAGTTTCCAAGTGTTTTTTTTCCCCCATGACAACAGAGACAACTGTTATTAAAATATCTGACTGGAAAAAACCTGAAGACTGAACTGCTGTCAAAACAGTGACTTTTTCACTTTCATAGTTTTATTTATATTACCTTCTAACATATTAACAGCAGTGCATGAGCTGACAGTTTCACAGGAGTCTTGAGGCCAGAATGGACCACCCAGGTCACTTACCCTGACTTCTTGTACATAATCAGGCCATTATACTTCACGCCAATAATCAATACCTTTGAATTAGCTTGGAAAAAAGTTTCAATTGGAGCACCTGTTTTCAATATCCTAATTACGACAAAGGACTAATTTTCTTGCTGAAGTATAAAACTATTTTGTTACAAACCAGAGACATTTTGTTCAGATTGAACATATTAATAGAACAAAGAACTGCTTGATTTGTAAAATAAGAAAACAAACTTCAAGATCTTCTGTGAAACAATTTCTATGTTTTGGCCAGCTCTAAGTCTCAACTTGGCACTCGTGTTCTGAAATACATGTATACCAGAGAGCAACAAGTACAGCACCTGGTTCCTAAAATGTCACCAAATCTACCCTCTGTGTTCAGTTTTACTCTTTACCTTGAGCTCTTTGGTGAGGTGATAAGTTACTATAGTGGTGAAGGAAGAGAAAAGGGGAGCCAGGAAAACGCAGACATTTCGGATGTCAATGGTAACATGGAAGAAGTGTAGAACATGGTAAATTGCTGCTGATGTGATCATTAAACCTGTGGCAGAGAGATTATGTTAGGGAGGGATTACTGATTTGCTACCAACATGTTTGCTATATTTCATTAAGAACAGCACACAGTCAAGACATTTTTAAAAAATGGACAACTTAAGCGCTGTAAATCAGTTTAGAGAGAAACCATCAAATTAAATCATTTAACCAAATTTTTCACTTGTTACTGAAATTTAACAAGTTACTTACACTGCCCCACCTAATGTCTGCTGGTCTCAGGGACACCCAAAAGCTTCCAGAGATCAAAGCTTTGATGGGGAGAAGGGAAAAAAGGAACATCTACGAAACTTCCCTGAGCCAAGAGGATGCTAGTTAGTTTTAAAGGGACAACAGTCAAACTAGTGTAGCCCCTTTAAAAGCCCCCATCTCAATTTGGCTCCAGACAGAGGATAACTTAGATGTACATTCTCCCTGGCCTCAAATGAACCAGACAGCAGCTCTACACTGGGGTCTCACTCTGTAGAAACTGAAGCACTAACTGGAGCACTCAGCAATCCTAATGGAAAAAAATGTAATTCAATTAAGTGAACCTTGGGGCTTACTTGGAATTATGAAAGCCCAGATCAGGTATTAACTCATAGATTTTCATTTCACTATTTCCAGGTAGAAAGTAGGCGAGGGTGGCAACTTAAATCTTAACTCGTTCAGAAAGGCAAAAACTTTAGTCTATAATGGAGCAATGGTCTCAAGTTGTAGCAAGGGAAGTTTAGGTTAGATATTAGAAAGAAATTTCTCACTAGGAGGGTAGTAAAATACTGGAACAGGTTACCCAGAGAGGTGGTGGAAACTCCATCCTTGGAGGTTTTCAAAACCCAGCTGGGCAAAGCTTTGGCTGGCATGATCTAGTTGGGGCTGGTCCTGCTTTGAGCAGGGGGTTGGACTAGATGACCTCCTGAGATCTCTTCCAACCCTAATTTTCTAGGATTCTATGTGCCACCCTGTCCTGCCTGACTTCAGATTAACACAGCTAACTGCCTCTCTGCCATTACCAAAAAGAACACAAAGGAAAGCTCACCTAGTGTGGAGTTTAACAGATAACTGGAACTGCTTAATATCCAATACCAGCACTGAAAGGGACACAGGCACTATGATGCATGTACAACAAAGAGTATCTGCCTGTTACTGTTCAGAATCCAACTGGAGACTGGAACACAAGTCTGCCTCTACCTTGTCCTCGATGAAGAATGCTTATGCTCCACTCAGCAAAAAGTATGTGAAATACCAAAGTCTATCAGACACTAGCTCAGTTGGTTACTACATTATTAATCGATTTGTTTATTCTCTATTATTTCTTCAGGACTGTCAGCCATGCAGCTAGTATGAACACCCTGCATTACATGAGATTGAGTTAAATTAGATGCATCTTCCATTTTGTAATTGTTCTGCCACAAAGTTCACAGGGCTAGAGAAAAGGATTTACCAGATTAAGAAATAAATCTCAAGAATTGAGACAATTACAGAATCTCTATACCATCCCACCCCCCACCACACACATCCTGGTTTACCTGGGTATATGGTTCCACCAATGATCCTGCCCAAAGGGTACCAGGCTCTGTCATCAAACCAGTTATGGAATTTGTAGAAGCCTTCTTCTGCCAGAAACCGTGTTGTGCGGTAGTTAAAATACCTGTGATAACAAGATTTGTTGAGCATCTCTGCAGTCTGAACATGGGAAATGCTGACTGTTTACTGCTACTCAGCCTTTAACTAATGAGCATATTAAGAAATAGTGCCAGCTCTGGCAGATGAGTGCAAGCTTGAGTGCTAAGCTGCATTCTGTCAGGATAAAAGCCTTAATCGATTCATGTGCAAATGCACCAAGCATTAGACACAAGAAGCACTGGCCATTTCTTCAGATTTTAAGCTAATGACACAAAGTTAGATGCTTATGGCTGAACAGCTGTCAATACATTTTCTGAAAAAAGGAATAAAGCAGCTCCAATCCCCGTGTATCCAGGCTGTTGAAAACTGACTATAAAGTTACAGCCTATTTTTATTAGGACACCATAGAAATAGCAAAGCCAGAAAGAATCACCAGCAGCATCCAGGCTGACTCCCAACCCTGCAGTAAACATGTCATAAGAGTCCTTATTTCTTTATTCCAGTTTCTCTGAACTGCTCCAAACCTCTGCTGTGGTAGCCCTCCCCACCACTCCCTCAGGGCATGTGTGCTGCCACCAATTGGTTTTATAGGTAATCCTTGAAGGTAATCATCAGATCCTCGTAAATTAACCAATAGGAACTCAGTGCCCTGAGTGTCACACTTTCAAGACTTAGGGCTTTATTATCTATGGTATTTTATTGTATTTTGGAGGGTCCTTTGTCCATTCCCTTCAGGTTTAGATAACTCCTGCTGACAGCCACAGAAGTCAAAACTACCTATTTAGTTTAATCCCATCTAAATCAGCACCATGCGCCTGCAGGAACTGCTGGATTCTGGGAAGTGAGTGCTTCCAAAGACATTTAATGAAGGGTATATGCTGAATCCCCCACCTTCAATGCCAGGAAGTTTTCCCAGCATCCGAAACATAACACTGCAGAAGGGCAACATAAACCTAAAAGCAGAGTGACCTCAGAATTCTATATAAGAAAAAGGCCTGTAACACTCAGGGAGAATACTTACGGATCAAATTCATGGATGACACTTTCAAATCTTAGAACAGAGAAGAGTCTAGTGGAGAAAGCTGCAATACACAGGCAGAAGAAAGAATCAATGCAAAGTATTTATACAGCAAAGGAAACTATATCCAACTCAGTTTCTTTATAAGATGATAGCTTAAAGCAGTAGTCACCAACCAGTCCATCCCAATCGACTGGTTGATTGTGGAGCCTCTGACAGTCGATCTCAGCCTGGGAGGGCTGAGCCTATGTGTGCACATATGCACTCGGCCCCCCCAGACTGAGATACAGAGCTGCAGCTGCTCCAGGAGTGATGCAATGCCCTGTGCATTGCGCTGCTGGGCTGAGCTGCATCCCCTGCCCGCCTGGTGGCAGGATGCACATGGTGTCACGCCACTCCTGGGGCAGCTGCAGCAGGGCTTGGCGTGCAAAGCCCAGTACACAACAGCAGCTGCCTCCACCCTGCGCACAGACTGGGGGGGGAACATGCCCCCCCTGGGCCTCTGCCAGGATGCGTGCAGCATTGGGAGCCCCCCCGTGTGCCTGGACCACCCGACCCAGCTGGAGCACCCCCTGCTGCTACCCCACTGCCTCCCTCACTGAAGGGGACTCAATCTGCCCCTCCTGCCCTTTCCTCTGCCACAGACTGAACTGCTGTGCAGGGTGGGGAAGGGGAAGGAGGGTAGGGGGTGGTGGCACGTGGTAGATCCTGGGTTGCACTTTAATTGACAAAGTGATCTGGTACTTAAAAAGTTTGGAGACCACTGGCTTAAAGTCTGTGGAAATGCAGGATGCCCCCAGAGAAACTGTATTTAGTTTCTTGGCTGGGAATGACTGGGGAGGGAGTCAGTCACTGACTGTGGGGCAGAGATAGTGAGATGTTATTTATCAAAGTTCTATGTATTAAAGGCATTAAGTTTTTTCTCTAAATGCTATTCTAAACATAATTTAGAGCTGCACTATCCTAACAAGTGCAGAATATTGTGGAGGGCTAGCAGCATTCAGGGATTCTTTAGAGCATATGCATAGTTGAATTTGGAGCTCAGACTTACACAGCACAGCTGCCATAGACAGGATGAGGAGTTTAAGCAGCGTGTCCTGTTTCTCATAGGACAGGCGAAGAAACCCTAACTTGGTCATTTTCACATCAAAGGCAGCAATGGACAATGCATAAATACCTAAAAGAGAACAGAAGACATAAGCCAGGAGCAAGATAATTTGCACCCAAAAGCAGCATTTCTGATTCCCTTCAGAACCCCACTAATTCAAGGAGTAAGTAAGTGTACAATCAAACAGGAATACCAAAGACTGGGACACTACCATATCGCAATGCCCTCCATTTCTGCCATATACGGGCTGCCCACAACGCCAGTCTTCCTTTCTCTTTGCTCTGTGTGTTACCCCCTCTGAAAGCTTTCATTGGTGCCCATCTCTTACAAAATCTGATTCAAACTTCTCACTTAGCACAGACCCCTTTAGATCAGTTTGCCTTCCTCTCCCTGGCAGATCAGGCTCCTGCTTTCTACCATGCTTGACTCAGGCCTGAAACCTCTGCCCCATTCTCAGCTAAGCAGGCGTCTCCTCTCACACTCTCTCCAAATTCATCCTTAATACTCAACCAATCCCTCATTATCCATAATCCCCTCATCTGATCAAGTGTCCTGAGTCTAGTCTTGTGTTTGTTTCCCTTGCCTTAGACCACAAGTTCTTTGGGGACAAAGGATGTGTCTGTTTTTCTGTGCATAAAGTACCATGTAAATATATATTCTATACAAGTATTTACTAGTAAAAAAAAAACTTGCCTCAAGCACTCCCTGGCATGAAACTCTTCCCGAGCTTTCAATGGGACTGGCAAAGAATACATGAAGAACCCACAACACGCACAGTGAGTTCATACCCTTTTTCTTCCCTGGGATGTATAAGGGTCACTAGAAAGGATGTTTTACATCAAGGCTGTCTAACAGGTGGGCTGCAGGACTCATGCAGCCCGCGGGGGTCAGGGGGGGTTAACATAACCCCGCAGGCTTGCTGCTGCCCCTAGTGCTCCTACTGCCGGGGTGCCCTGTCCCTTCTCCAGCTTCCGTTTCCTGCTGCTGCTCCAACGGGCAGGGCAAGGCGAGGCGGGGGCATGGGCAGGGGCTCTGGGACGCCTGCACTGTTTCTGCCACAGGGGAAGCAGCCAAAGGGCCTGTGCTAGGCACATGGCGGGAGGGGCAGGGAGCAGGGTGGGAGGGGCCTGGGCTGCCCATGCCCCTGGGGGAGGAGCCTGGGGGGCACCTGGGCAGCGAGCGGCCCACAAGTTGGACAGCCCCGTTTTACACCATAACCTTGATTAGAAACTCAGGAGTTTCCTAGCGTGGACCAGCATCGTCAACCCATTTCAAGTCGACGTGGTCCGCTGAAGTTTATGGGCAGACAAACCACCAACAGATTTGTGACATCGGAGAGTGGGAAGTGAAACGGGAGCCGGAGACTCCTGCCACTTGGCGGACGCCCGGCTGGTTTTGTTGCCACGTCTCTAAGCAAGGACCGGCTTTCCCCCCGCAGTTCGCCACGGGGCCGATGTTCAGGGCTCAGACAGCGGCCAGCCCGCACGGCCGACACCCCAGCGAGGCGAGTCGTGCGGCGGGCACAGGCCGGACGGGCCCGGGGCTCTTCCACCGAGATACAACTCGCGTCACAGCTTGTGCCGCAGCCCCACGCGGGCCGGCCAC